CCATTGCCGATGGAACAGGGAGTCGGGTTCCCTACACAAAGGACAGCCCCCCCCGTGGTCATACCCGCACGCTCTCATCCGATCTCCCGTCCAACAGGCACCTGAAAAAACAGCCGAAAGCCAATATTTTTGTCTGGCCGTGGTCTTACGTGAACGAAACAACTTGGCGACAGGGTCTGGGCAAACTCTGACCTCGTTGAAATCATCTAAATCGGTGGCCATCTTGCGCTCAAGGGCTCTCTGCACGCCAGCCTCAAGCTGCTTGGCCACTAAAGCTGGGGAGGTGTACATTAAATCAACGACGCGATCGCGGTCATCTCTCCACAGCGCAAAATTATCTGCACGCCACCCGATACGATGGAGGGAGAGGAGCATTCTGTGCACTGGGCCTTTAGACTTACGCCAGACAGTAGGGCCTAACTCAGGAGAGGAACTCGATATTGTACGCCATATCCGAATGTGATCCCGAAACGAGAAGTGGGAAACCGTGGGCTCCGTGAGGCTCTGCCAGAGGCTGTTCGACCACTGAAGCGCTGGGGCCACCGCCTGACGCCACGCAGGGTCTCCATGAAGCACGCGCTTCGCTGTCAAGCTTGCTCCCCGATGGGCAGGAGACTTGCCTGACATCAGCACTGAACGTAAAGAGGCCAATTCATGATCAGAAACTCCTAGGACCATGCTGCCGAAACCTGCTGCTGGCCGTACTCCTGCAACATATATCTTGTTAATCCGCGTACGGTCCCTGGGGAGCTTCTTCTTATAGTGCTGGAGTAGTCGGCTACGAATTCGCATATCGTGAAACCGTTGCCGCCGCCGAGCTCTAGCCTTCTTGGCCGATAACCCCTGACCAGGTGCTAGGTCCACGCCCAGCGACACCGTGGAGTTCGTGGCCGAAGAAGGGCATATTGGCTGAAGTCGCCTGCGGAGCTTGGAAGCTATCCTGCTGGACGACGAAAAAGATACCGCTTTGTCTTCAGCTAGCCGAACACCTAAACGCGTCTGAAAAACCCACTTCAAATCTTTCGCAGCCTTGACCAAATCATACATAATAACGCTTTCAGGACCATGGGCCGAAACCGTGTCATCGTCGACGTACGATCCCAGACTGACCCCAGGATTTCGGCTAGCCCAGAGATCAAACTCGAACATCGCGTAAACCTTCACGAAAACATCGTTGAAAATGTCCCCTGCTGGTAAACCGTTTTGCGCAAACTGAATAAGCGGGCAGTGATGAGCTCCCAGACGGAGTACTCTCGGGGACCTCCAGAGGTTGTACAGGACTTTTATGAGAACCGTGGGTATACGCCAGTACATGGCCCGATCCCTCAGCCACAGGAGCCGAAAGGACTCGTAGTACTTCATACCGTCCCAAATGAAACCTGCCGTGTAATCGCCCTTTTCGGAGGTCTCCTCGGCTCTCACACTTTGTTGCCATATCGACACCTCAGCAGACTGCCCCGCACCAAAAGACCAGTAAGGCCGTTGGGCCCGATCCAGGAAAGAATCCGCCTGAGGTCTCCGAAGTCGCTCCCAAACTCGAACAAAAGAACCCAGAAGTAGAATCGGCCTGAGACCTCCTTTGGGCTTCTCCAGTAAAGGCAGCAGCACCCACAGTAGCTGCGCGGGGAAAAGGCCCAGCCGCTCCACGGCCTCGTAGAGCACGGCCAGGCACGTGAGACCCTCGTCGGAGAGGGCGCCAACATGCCGAGGGTGAAATCCATCTAAGCTCTGGGCAGTGTGGCGGCTGAAGCTCAGAGACGCATTCCGAAGTTCAGCAACGCTGGCCCGAGGGAAACATTGACGATCAGGAATCCAGGCTTCGGGTGGCTTCAAGTCCGCTCCCCAAAATCTTCCCAGAGTCTGAGCTTCATCCTCCAGAAGGGCATGTGGATCTGCAGTAAACACTCCAGGTGCACTCTGGATAACTGTCGGCTGCCAAACCTTTTTTAGCTTCGTAAAACGATGCATAATCCGAGCTGAGCCAGCAAGGGCCCGTTCCTGCCAGAGATCCCACGACTCCCGCTGGATGCGATCCCCATCCAACCCAGCTTGCTCATAATCCTCACGAACATCCTCTAACAACTGCTGCGCTAGCTCAAGCCACTCCTGCCTATGGAAGCTGCTGTGGTGTTGCCAGCTCCTCGCCAGAGTGCGCATGGCACGGAGGGAGGCGTCCAGGCGCACAGACAGGCCTTCGCCAGGGCAGGAGTCCTGGAGCGATACCTGAAGCTGGATGCAACACTGGACGGCGTCCTCCGTCGCATCTTGTACCGTCAGGGTAAATTCTTGAAAAGACTGGTACAGCCACCTCCATCCAGCAGCGATCTGGAGCTTATCCTCAGGATCCTTCGGGCGATAGAACACCGAAACCCAAGATGATTTGATCGTTCGCGAACGCTCACCCAACTCCTTCGGCTCGAAACCTAACGTTCGGGTAAGCTCCAGCTCGGCGACGTCCACAAACTGCGCCCATGCATTATTCAAAACCCTCCAGGCCGCCGTGGCCTTCTCGTGCATGGCCCAGGCCGCTGCCTGTGCAGCATGAGCAAGAGCGCCTTGCCACGCTGGTGGTTGAGGCCGCGGACCAAAAGGCACATCGACAGGTAGGCGCTGATAGCTACGATACACTAGCTGCCTGAGGGAAAGAGCATCTGCACGAACCTTGAGCTGGACAGGTCTGTGGGGCTTGACGTCCCAAGACATGACAGCTGCAACTCCAGAAATCAACCTAGACAACCCAGGGCCCATGACGAAGAAATCTATAATGGTGTTCGTAGACGGAGCACGACACGTATGCTCAATCGGCGCCAAAACCAACATCCCCAACTTGCGTGGAACTCCAGAGGCCTCAAGAACCTGTGGGGTGAGGTTCCAGTCGCCCGCCAGGATCGTATGAGTTGGGTCGTTCACCTGCTTACCTATCTTAGCGATCATCTGTACGTTGGCCTCGCTGAGGCCCTCCGACGTCTTCAGATAGACCGAGAAAACCGTCACCGTGGGCCACCCAGGGAAGTCCACCAGGACCTTGATAGCTCGGCCAGGAACCACAGGGCCAGGACCTTCTGGAGGCCATCGTAAACCAATGCTGAGCCGAGCGAAGACGGCGACACCGCACGAGACCTTGCCTGTCTCTGGGTTCAAGAACGAGGGACCGAACAGGGCGTGGAAGCCGAGCGAGCGTGCCGAGGCCGTAGCTTGTCCCAAGAAGGAAATACTGATGCCTATCTCCTGGGCACACACAATCACCGCCGAAGTCTCACGTAACCTTCTCCGAAGCGTCTTCCAACACGAACCGTTGAAAGTCTCAATAAAGAACGGGTCCCCTCTGGCTACCTTGGGACCTCCGCGCAGAGGTGGCACAGGTACTCCAGCAGAGGACAAAGGAATGCCTGACAAAAGGGGCGCACGGCAGCGGTGGAGTGCGTCACCCGCACCGCTGCTTCTTCGCCCTGATACCGAACTGCTTGAGCAGATCAGCGACCTCCTTCTCGTGGTCGGAGCCCTCCTTCCGCGCCGCGGCGATGACCTGCTGCACCTTCTCCTCGGAGAGCTCCTCCATGTCAACGTCGTCATCCCCAGCGCTGACCTCAGCCGCTTCGGGGGCAGCTCCTGGTACCGCACCATGTACACCATCAGGGGCCCGAGGCGCAGCCTGCTGCTGGTCCCGCGCCGCTGCCGCCTTGGCCGCATAGAGCTCCTTGAACTTGGCGAACTCAGGCGAGGAAAAGGAGGAGGAGGAGGAGATGGCGGAGGAGTTGGCGGAGGAGGAGGAGGAAAAGGAGGAGGAGGAGGAGGAGGAGGGGGGAGGAGGAGGAGGTAATTAGGAGGAGGTAGGAGGAGGAGGCAGAGGAGGAGGAGGACGGAGCAGGAGGTAGGAAGATGATGATGCTGATGATGAGGAGGAGGAGGAAAGGATGAGGAGGAGGAGGGAGAAGGAGGAGGAGGAGTTGGAGTTGGAGTTGGAGTTGGAGTTGGAGTTGGAGGAGGAGGAGGAGGAGGAGGAGGGAGGAGGAGGAGGAGGAGGAGGAGGAGGAGGAGGAGGAGGAGGAGGAGGAGGGAGGAGGGAGGAGAGAGGAGGGAGGAGGGTGAAGGATGAGGAGAAGGAGGAGGAGGAGCAGGAGGAGGAGGAGGAGGAGGAGGAGGAGGAGGAGGAGGGAGGAGGAGGAGGAGGAGGAGGAGGAGGAGGAGGAGGAGGAGCAGGAGCAGGAGGAGGAGGAGGAGGAGGAGGAGGAGGAGGAGGAGGGAGGAGAGAGGGAGGAGAGAGGGAGGGAGGAGGGAGGAGGCAGGGAGGGAGGAGGAGGCAAGATGAGAAGGAGCTTCTCGGAGTCTTCGAGGCTATCCTCCACGGCGGCGCAGCTTGGCTCCTCGGAAAGGCGCGCGCAGCAGCAGACACTGGGTAACCTCTCCGCCGCCGTCGCCGAGAGGCGGGTGGTGCCCTGGTCAAGCCTGACGGGGCGGGGGGGCGTCCGCCGCCGCCGCCTCGACCCCCACACCATCGACATGTAGGGCGACTTTCCGCAACTCCGAACTTCGCCACTCAAGTTGGCACCTCGCCTCGCAGCGTAGCTAAAACCGTAAGCATGAGGGCCCGAAGCTGCTGCGCAACCTCCGCGTCGCCGACGAACACCTCCAGGGCCGCCTCCGCTGCCGCCAGGTACCCACGAACGGCCTGGAGCTCGTCCACGCGCTCGGCCACGGCACGGACGGCAGACCCGCGCGCCCATGCTCGCGAGGCTCGGCGGGCCTCCGCAGAGCGCACGTGGTGGAGAAAAGCAACGCCCTCCCGAGCCATCCCCATGTCCGGCAGCAGATACCCTCCACCAGCTTCAGACAATTCCGACGTGACGAGCCAGCTTGAGCCAAGAGGGTTCGGCCCCTGCCGGCGGCTTGAGCCAAAATGCCAAAAGACTACGGACGAAGGATGAGGATGGAGGAGGAGGAGGATGAGGAAGAGGGAAGTGGCGAGCCTGGGGAGGAGGGCGGCATGGGGCGGGCGGGGCCTGGAGACATCGTCGGCGCGTCCGTCAGGCTGGTGCCCGGCGTGATGGTCAGGGTGATGGGGTCGAACCACGCCCCGCAGAAGACGCTGGCGGGGAGGGAGCAGTCCCAGACCCCTTCGCGCTGCGACAAAAACCACGACGGGAGGCTTTTGTTTCGCTGCTCTTGGTCCCGGGGGGCCCTCGCCGGGCCCCGGGACGGTCAAAAAACGACTCAGGATGAACTCGGGCGTTCACTAATGGGGGGGCGATAAATGGGGGGGTAAGAAAGGTACACCTTTCGTGCACCTTTCGTGCCCCTTCGGGGCCCAGGGGCCCTGGGCTCGTTTAGGGTCCCTTTAGGGCACCTCTCGTGCAACCTCGATGCCCCCCCATCTCTCGCCCCCCCATTGCCGAACGCCCGATGAACAAAAAAAACAGTCCCCGGGAAGGGGTCTGGACCTCTGGGGGTCGACGCCACGAAAAACATATCAAGCACGACGTCGGGGGCCTGGGCCTGTGCAGCACAGCGTGCAGGGAAACAGAGAGAGGATGAGGAGAGGTAGGAGGAGGGAGGAGGAGGTAGGAGGTAGGAGGAGGAGGAGAAGGAGGAGGAGGAGGAGGACGAGGAGGAGGAGGAGGAGGTAGGAGGAGGAGGAGGAGGAAACAGAGAGGGGGGGGGGAGGGTGAGGCGTCAAACAGCCGACGGATGCACGCCACGGCGGCCCGACGCCCGCGCTGCAGCCGCCTCTTGGGTCGCGGTCCCGGCCAGCGGCGAGGGCCCCGTCGCGCTGGCGGGGGAGGAGGAGGGAGGGCCGAAGGGAGGACGAGGGGAGGGAAGGCGAAGGGAGGGGAGGGAGGGGAGGGAGGACGAGGGGAGGGAGGGCGAAGGGAGGACGAGGGGAAGGGAGGGGAGGCTGAACCCGGCTGCGCCAGAAAGCCTCGCGAGCGAAGAACGCTCCCCCGCGCCCGGCGAGCCATTGAACTCAAGTCATGGCGGGGGTGAGCGGCAGGTCCCCGCGATTCTGGGGAAGGTTGGCCTCCCTGCTACGCTCCGGACGGCGCCAAAGCACCGCTGCCCTCGGATCCTGAGGAGGAAGAGGATGCAGAAGCAGGGAGGAGGAAGAAAAACAAGGAGAATGGAGGAGCAGGGAAGATAATGGAAGAAAGATGAGGAGGATGCGGCAGGTGGGAGGGTGGAATCGAGGAGGACGAGGAAGAGGAGGAGGAGGAGGAGGAGGAGGAGGAAAGAAGGAGGCGGAATAAGGTATAAACAGGATCAGATAATGAGGACGATCGAATCGGTAAGAGCTCTAGGGGTTCCAGGTCAGATCGTCCTCGCGCGAGGCCTGGGCCAGTCTACGCACCTGCGCCAGCTCTTTTTTATTGAAATGGAAAGACCCGAAGGGAAAGTGCACGGCACCAAGACGGTCACACTTGAGACAACCACTCTGGCTCAAAATTGTGGCCGCCACCAAAGCGGCCCTAATAATCCAAACTATCTCAACTACTTGCCTGCAGAGGCTTCCTTCAAACGAATCCTCAAAATTGTGGCCGCCACCAAAGCGCCCCTAAGAATCCAAACTGCCTCAACTACTTGCCCCGTGCTCCACGCGGCGCTGGATCGGTCCGGCGTGGCTCACCAGCCAGCGTCTGCAGGCACACTCATTATTGTGGCACCCCCTCCGTTGCTACCTTGAGGCGTGCCTCTCGCATCGTTCATCACAACGTCAAGCTCGTCGCGAATGCGGATTCCAAAGTTGTTCAACAACCTCGTCGTAGCCTTCCTCGCACACCACCATCTCGAACACATTCCAATCTCCGCAACCCGCCACTCGAGGTTTCTTGATCTCCTCTGTCGGTCTAGCCTCAAATGGAGACGTCCCTCGAACTGACTCTTCTCCAACGTTCATGGGAACTGCTTCAGGAGCTGCTGGAGCTGGTGCTGGTGGTGTCTCTCCTGGGCCTGCGTCGGGCACGGCCACATCCTCAGCCTGTGGAAGTGCGGGGCTGACCGCTCCTTGTCCACTGCAGCCGGTGCCGCCACCGTGATATCCGCGGTCTCGGGGTCACTCTCGAGACTCTCCCTGAGAGCGTCCGCCTTGATGGTCTCGAACCGCTGTCGGCACGATGCCGATTGCGATCCGTGACCAGTACTGCAACTCTTGAAATCGTCCGTCGGGCCATGAGCACCGATCATCCTCCCCGTGATGTACATGCTGCGCACTACGCTGGCGGGAGCCTTTGCAGGTGTCTGCTTCCAGGGCGTCACCGAGATGCTCTTGAGCAACTCAACGCTCCATCCGAACTCCTCGGGCATCTGTCTTACCCTCCTGACCTGCTGAACTCCACGTTGACCGTCGACTGCCAGGCCAGCGTCGTCCACGTCGCGCCTACCGACTCGCATGCCTCTCGCACGACTGGCCTTTCACTTGCCCCGACCCGCGGCAACTCGAGTTGCGATCCTTCTATTTTTTTCCCTAACAAGCTACCTCGACTGCCGTGCATCTGAATGGTCTTAAAACGTCCACCTACGTAGAGGAGCAGTCCTGCGAACGATTGTCACTCCGCCGTGCCCTCTAGGGGCCCCGCAGCAACTCGAGCTGTGATCCGATACCAAATCTGCTCGCCGAGCTCCGCGATCTCGCCTGGGTGCTCCCTGCTGTGCAGCATCTCCAGCGGTGAGCCTCCATGGCTGCGTGGTTTTGAGCAGGGGCCGGCACTGCCGGCATTCCGACAGGCCTGCCACGACATGCTCTTAGAACAGAGGAACCTAAATTATCCCAGTGCGACCCGACCTAGGAGTTGGAGCATCTAGGAAAGTAACATCTACATTTACACCGACAGCTACATTAACATCTACACCTGCATCTACATCTACAGCAACATCAACAACGAGACTCACATCTACAGATATGATATGATATGCTATGCTATGATGCGCTATGCTATGCTATGCTGCGCTATGCTATGTTATGATATGATATGGTATGCTATGATATGTTATGATATGCTATGCTGCGCTGTGCTATGCTAGACTATGATATGATATGCGATGCTATGCTATGATGCGCTATGCTATGATATGATATGCTATGCTATGCTATGATATGATGCGCTATGATAATGCTATGATATGATATGCTATGATATGCTATGTTATGCTAATGATAATGCTCTAAGCTAGGGTAGGCTAGGCTAAGCTAAGCTAAGCTACGCTAAGCTAAATTAAGCTAGGCTAAGCTAAGATAAGCAACGCTAAGCTAAGGGGACGTAACTGGGGGAACCGCGGGGCGGATCCTGGGGGAACCGCCCGGGGCGGGGTGCACTGCCCGGCCCTTCAAGCACAGAGAGTAAGAACCCTTCTAGGCAGAGCCTAGGTAGGGAACAAGGTTCTTAGAACGTAAAGACGATGTGTCAAAGCAAGATCTGACATCCCCAGTCTGAAATGTTCTGAGAACACGTCGTGCAAACCACAAGAGGTTCTTAGAACACTCTCTGGTGGGCCTATAGGCGAGCCAGGACGTTTCGACACTGCTTGAATGGCTGCGTGTTTGGGACTTTGTGATCATCAATCCCAATGCGTCCACCAGCTACGGCACGATTGGGTCCTGCATCTTAATATCCACTCCACGCTTCTGCTCCGGCTTCGGCTTGCACACCCGTGGTAGCCCAGCCGCAAGCTTGTTGACTCCTGCGATATGCCTTGCAGTCTGCTCCGAGAAGGGCGGTGATCCCCGCAGAATGGAGTGAGACCTTCGGCTCCTTACGGCATTCGCCACGGCTGTCGTCGCAGGCTCGAGGAGTAGGAGTAGCGGGAGGAGCAGGTCGTGGGCGTGGAGAGGAAAGGACAACGACGATCGGATTCAAAAGTGCGGCCCGGGCTGAAGCGACAGCGACTTTCTGAACAGGACGGGAGCAAAATTCCGACCCTGAAGTGAGGCCACGCTGCAGCGCGAGCACAAACTGAACAACCCAAACTCTCTCATGTGAACAACGTAGCGCATATACAAAATGTGTTGAAATCCTGCGTGAAGAACAGTAAGCGGAAGCAACGAACGAACACACACACAGCTTTAAGGGGAGAGAGGGCCGCAGTATTCCTGTTGAGGATCTGTGAAGGAGTGGGAGAGGGAGGAGCAGTAGAAGGGGGGGATAAGGGGGGGAAGAGTGAGGAAGGTGGGAGAAGGCAAAGGCGAGGTCGGGCAGGAAGAGGAGTAACCCGATGGGGAAAAGCACGAGTGGGGACTCCGACAGGGCACCGAGGAAAGGGAGGCTATCCTCCACTCTACGTCGCCAGTGACGGGCATCGAGGCGCTGGAGAAGTGGTACGCGATGAACGAGCAAAGGCCTGGGCACCAGAAGAGAAGAGAACGAGGAGGCGGAGTCCGTCAAACAACTGAGAGTGGCCGGTGCCACGACAAGAAAGGAGGACGAGGAGGCGGAGTCTGTCAAACAACTGAGAGTGGCTGACGCCACGAAAAGAACCCCTGCGAATCCATACATGCACATACATCATGCTTCAGGCCGCCACGTGCTTTTGGGCGTATGCGCATGGGATAGAGATGCACACAACGATGTATAGAACAAACTCAAGAACAACGTCCCACAATCTCGACCCCCCTCTCTCCTGGCCATCGCTCGGACGTCGATTCCCTGTGTTTTTTTCGGTTTCGTGCGCGTTTTTTCGCGAAATGATCAAGGATGCTCCTCAATGGCCCTCGCCGAAAGAAAAATGCACACGTCCGAGCGATGCCAAGTCTCATGACACCACCAGAGTTCATGAGCACATGCGACCTCACGAGTCCGGTGCACCTCCTGCTGCGCACCTGGACTGGAGTCCTGGACCGCCTCTTGCCTGTCCGGGGGCCCGCTGAGGGCCCCGGCACCCCGACGCTGACGAAAATCGGTGACGACCGCAGGGACACTGCAAACCTAGGGACCATTCCTCTGGCAACCCATGGAAGCAAACGAGCATCCACTCGAACCTGCCCAGAGGAGCGCGTTGCACTACTCGCAAAATAGCTACTCGCCAATGGCCTGGATCCGCCGTGGGGGGTCTACGATACTACATAGAAACAGCCATGTGTTTTTGGGGACGTTTGCGAGTAGGCACTTTGCGAATGGTGGAACGCGCTCGGTGACTGCCCATAAATCTTCGGCAGCGGCCGGGAGTCTCCCCTCGGCCACGCTCGCTGCCGGCGCGGGAACCGAGCGGGAGCGCCGTCGTTGTCGAGGTCCTGGTCTCTGGTCAGGTCTGGCTCGGTCGAGTCGAACACCCTGCGGGCGCCGTCGTCGTCACCATGCTAGTCGCCGTCGTCGTTGCCCTCGTCGCCAGGGAGGGGGGGGCGAGGAGGATGGAGACGGAATGCGAAGGAGGAGCATGAAGGAGGGGGGGAGGGAGGAGCGAAGAGGGAGGAGGAAAGGGACTACGGGAAGAAGACCCAAGGATGGTGACGGGCATGGGAAGGGGTCGGGCCATAGCAGGGCAGGTCAGAGGCGCGGTCACAATCATCATCATCACCATCACCGCCACCATCACCACCATCAACATCACCATCACCATCACCATCATCATCACCATCACCATCACCATCATCCTCATCATCAGCAGCATCAGCATCAGCATCATCATCAACATCATCATCAGCATCATCGTCACCATCATCATCATCATCATCATCATCATCAACATCAACATTACCATGATGATTACACACCATCGTCAATACAACCGTCATCATCACATTCACCATCACCAGCACCATCATCATCATCATCATCAGCAGCAGCAGCATCATCATCATCATCATCGTCATCACAATCATCATCAACATCAGCATTGCCATCATCGTCATCATCGTCGTCATCACCATAATCATCGTCACCATAACCATAGGCACCATTATCTCTAGTGTCACCATCGGTGTCATCATCACTATAGTCATCCCTATCCTCATCATCTGGATCATACTCATCATCACCATCAGCACCATCGCAATCATCAGTATCATCATTCTCATGAACATCATCATCGCTAGCAGTATTATCGTTGTCATCACCATCGTCATTGTATCAACATCATCCTAAACCTTACCAACACTATCACCAAAACGACCATCATCACCATCACCAACACCATCACCGTCATCATCACCACCACCATCATCACCATAGTCATCGTCTTCGTCGTCGACGTTGTTGTCGTCGTCACCGTCGTCATCATCATCAGCAGTTCTCATTCTCATCCTAATAACCATCATCCTTACCACCACCACCACCACCATCATCATCATCATCATCATCATCATCATCATCATCATCATCATCACCACCATCATCATTATCATCATCAGCAGCAGCAGCACCAGCATCAGCATCATCAGCATCATCATCGGCAGCAGTATCAGCATCAGCATCCTCCTCGTCGTTTCCATCACCATCACCACCACCACCATCATCATCATCATCATAATCGTGGACAGCAATCCCATCGTAGTCATCGTCATCGTCATCATCAGCACCATCATCCTAATCCTCGTCAACATCATCACCGCAACGACCATCACCATCACCATCACATCACCATCACCATCACCGTCATCATTACCACCAACGTCAACATCATCCTCATCCTCATCATCATCAACAACCTCAACACCACCATCATCATTAACAGCATCGCCATCGTCGACTACGTCTTCGTCTTCGTCGTCGAATTCATCATCGTCGTGCCGCCATCATCAACAGCATCATCGTCAGCGGCAACATCATCGGTATACTCATCCTCATTATGACCCTCATCGTCATCCGCGTCGTAATCCTCATCATCATCGTCAGCATCATCATCATCATCATCATCAGCATGCTCCCTTTTTCCAGCTCAGGCAGGCCAGGTGGCGAGACTTCGAGACGCTGCAGGCGCAAGAGGCTGCCGCCCGGGGATCTCCGATCTGCGGGCGGCCACGGACATCAACTGAAATTTCGGGCACATCAGAGACAGAGGGAAAGCAAGGGGGGGAGGGAGGGAGCTTGAGCGAATCGTCAACGGAAGATCGCAGACGGGCGGCCAGCAACGCTTCCCAAGGAGCAACCCTGTTCGGAGAACGACTTATGCTCCCTTTTTCCAGCTCAGGCAGGCCAGGTGGCGAGACTTCGAGACGCTGCAGGCGCAAGAGGCTGCCGCCCGGGGATCTCCGATCTGCGGGCGGCCACGGACATCAACTGAAATTTCGGGCACATCCAAAATGCTGCAAAATGCACAGCTAGCCTGGCCACGCCGAGAATGTATCAATTATTATTCAAGAGTCGGAAAGCGCTCGAGCAGCACGGCCAATCAGAGAGCCGGGACCTGGCCCTCTCGTCCGCGTATGCTCTGGCAAGGATGTCGCAGAGCTTTCGAGGATATGCTTCCGCCAACTTGGTGCGGAATCTGCCCGACGCGTCTTTCCCGGACAGCTCCTGATGCTTCTGCCCAGTGAGGACACAGACGGGCCCCACGCACCTGAAGTCGGCCAAGGGCGCCAAATCGAGGAGAAACGCAGCGATCTTGGTGCTCTTCCTCCAGGGCGTCCCGAACCGGCAGTACTCGATCACCTGGGTCGTGACCTGCCGGCGCTGGAGCAGGGACAGCATTGGCGGCAGCTGCCACGCGTAGCTCAGCGCGGGGTTCTCGAGGGACCAGGGGACGAAACACTGGCAGCTCAGCACGCAGAAGGATATCGTGAGCCGCGCGTACAAGATGCCCCACTTCACTTTCAGGAGGTCGGCGCCCCCGACGGGGAGACTGGGCAGGCCCCAGACGTGCTCCTGGGACCGGAGCCGCGGGGGGCCGTTGGGGCGGTCACGTGCCCGCGAGAAGGTCTCGCAGGGAAAGCCAGCATGCAGGCCGCAGACGAGCCCCGCCCGTATCCAGCCCCGAATGAGGCGGGCGTTCCTGGGGTCGCGCAGGTCGTAGGCGGGGCCGTACAGGATGTCCCACCGCAAGGTGGGGGCATTTCCCCGCTCCACGGCGTCGGACAGGTGGCCCGAGCCCGCGAACAGCTCGAGGAACACGGCGATGGTCGGCGCCCTCAGCGGCCCAAAGATGGCATCCGCCTCCCCCGCAGCACGTCGGGGAGCTCCCGAGCGGCCGCCGCGGCCGCCCGCTGCACGTCGGGCGGCAGGCGGCGCAGGAGGTCGGCCAGTCGCCCCCCGTGCTCGTAGCGGCGGAGGCTCCGAGCGGACCGCCACCGCCCGCGGCGCTGGATCTCCTCCAGCCGCCGGGCGCCCGTCGCGAAGTCGACGCTCGCCCCCGCGTGTCGGAAGCGGTAGGCGTCGAGCGGCCCGAGGGGCCCCAGGCGCCAGGCTGCCGCGGCCTCGTCCAGGGCCCGGCGCAGGGCGCTGGGCGACAGATCCAGCAAGGGCCCCTCGCCGCGCTCCAGCCCCAGCTGCACCAGGGCGTCCGCGAGCGCCGCCTGCCGGTCGAGGTCGAGGACGATCGCCTGGTCGAACTCCTGGCTCTTGGACGGGGTCCGCATCTCGAACGGGTGGAGCAGGACCGACGTGGGGGTCCACTCGCGGGCTCCGCTGATGGCCCCCGCCACCACGTCGCGGCCCCGTAGCAGGAATGGCTCTCCCGGGCGCAAGTACAGCTCCATCATCATGAGGATCGCCAGCGCGTGGGGTCTCAGCCCCTGGCAGATCATCCAGCACGCCAGCAGCGCCACCACGTCGTAGGGCAGGGGCAGGCGGCCCCCCGCTGGGGCAGCACGGCGCCAGCCTCGCAGGCACTGCCGGCAGATGGGCATCCGCCCGCCCCCCAGCCTGCCGAGGCGGGGTTCGGCCCACTGCACCGACGCCAGGAGCTTCTCGCCCGCGCTCAACGAGCCGCCCTCCATGAACATGATCTCCATCAAGCCCGCGGTGGCGGTGTCCCACTCCTCCTCGGTGATCGGGTGGTCCCCGCGGGAGTTGCAGAACCTGCGCGGGGCGGCCAGGTAGAGAGAGTACTGGGCCTGCGTCTTCGCCGACACCGAGGCCCTCCGAAGCAAACTCATCTGGGCCTCGGGGGCCCGCGCCGCTGCCAGCATGGCAGCGCGCCCCGCCCGCGCCCGCGCCGCCGCCGCCCGCGGGCCCCCAGTCTCCAGGGGGGCCAAGGCCGGGCGGGAGGCCGACCCCGAGCTGGGCGGCGGCGGCTGGCGGCCCGCGGGGGTCCTCGACCTGTCGGACCTGCCGCGCGCCAGCATCGCGGCCCTCGTCGGCGGCGGCCGCGAGCTCGCGCCGCAGGCCCGCGAGCGGGTCGCTCGGCGCCGGCCGTCCGCGCGAGGGCCCGTCCGTAGGGTTGAGCTCCGACGCGATCCAGCGCGACCGCAGGAGGCTGCCGGTCCCCAACAGCAGGGCGCCCAGTCGGCGGGTCACCGAGAGCATGCCATCGGAAGAGGACCGCCCCTTCGTGGCGGCCAGGGAGGCCGAGATCGAGTCCCCAATCACGAGCAGCCTCGAGCCCAAGTTGGCGACGGACCTCAGGAGGTGGCGAACCCCGTACAGAAGCGCCTCCGCTTCCAAGGCCGGCATGGACGTCGAGGGCCGTTTCCACCTCTGCCTCCCGCACACCCTCCAGGGGGCCCTCAAGAGGTCCAAGGGGGCGTCCTCGAACGGCTTCCGGCGCCGGCGGTCGAACTCGCTTTCGGGTCGGTCGTGCCGAGACTGGGGCCGCACGCGCTCCATCAGGATCCGCCTGTCGGCCTCCCCCTCACTTCCGTGCAGCTGCGCAGCGGCCGCGGCGAAAGCGCGCTCACGGGGTGGCCGCCCCTCCCGGGCCGCCTCCCGAGCCCCAGCACGCTCCGAGCGACGGCAGGCCTCCTTGACCAGGGCCATCGGCGGTCGTCCCCGAACGGCCCCAAGGCCCCACGGCGACGCGTCCACCACGACGACGTCCGGACAGGTACCCGCAGAGGTGTTGACCCAGATGAGCGGGGCGATACGGTCCCAGATGTCGAGCTCCTTTCGTGCTGAGGCCCAGAGGGCCCGAGGCCCCCGGGCTGGGCATCTCCGCGCGGCCTCACAAAACCTGTAACAATATTTGAAAACGCTGAGCGACTCTCGCCTACACAGGCCGATGAAGCACAGATGGCCCAGGAGGCGCTCCAAGTCCCCTTCAGAGACCGAGGCCCGCGCCAAAAGACCCCGAATGGCGAGGCGAGCCTTCCAGACACGCTCGGGGGTCGGGCGGAAGGTGCGCCGAAGGCAATCGATTTCCCACCCCAACACGACGGCCCGATCGCATGAGACAGACTCTT